CGATTTCCTTGCTATTCTCCATAAACATATCTGTCAAACGTGTTGACAAAATAAGGCAGTCAATTGCGGGAATGAAGTTAGCAAATAATCAGTTGAGACAAAATCGAAACAGCATTATAAAATTTTATTTAAATAATTATTTTCAAATTTTAATTTTTTATACTTTTTTACAACTTAAAATCTTTTAATATTATTTAAACTATAATATTAAAATAAAAATTTATAACCCGAAAACAATAATTATAAAAAGGTTGTTACTAAAAAAACATTTTTTCATTTCTTTATATGTATTTGTCATGTTTTTTAATTCTAAAGTTAAAATTTGATTAATTGGACTCAAAAACATAGCTAAAAAAGGTTTAGTAAAATATAACAGAAATTAAATTTAAAAATTTTTTTAAATATGCGATTAATTAACCTCAAAAAACTTCTAAAAAAAAGTCTAGTAAAAATAAGCAAAAAAAATAAAAAATTTTAAAATTTCGATTTTTACAAAAAGTGCCATAACTTTCGTTCAAGTTAATATTTTTTAATGGGGTATGGCTAAGATTTTAAGTTAGTCTAATACGTCGATTGAAAGCAGAAACACACCAATTCAGGCGAATGTTGAGAAACATGACAATCTAAAAAATATTAGAGAAACCTGCCATTCCAGTGAAGATTTCGAAAACATGCCATCTCGGATGTCAAATTTTTGTTGATTGTTTTAGGTTGGTAACACTTTCTTGAGAATGTTATATTATAGTTAACAAAATTTTATTCTTGAAATCAATATTAAAAATTAAGAAAAGTATAATTATTAATAATAAAATTATTAAAGGTTCTACCGACTTAGCCATCAATATTCAACAAAATATTAATTAATTTGACTCATCAATTTTTCGTTTACAGTGTTACCAACCTAAAACAATCAACAAAAATTTGACATCCGAGATGGCATGTTTTCGAAATCTTCACTGGAATGGCAGGTTTCCCTAATATTTTTTAGATTGTCATGTTTCTCAACATTCGCCTGAATTGGCATGTTTCTGCTCTCAATCGACGAATAATATAATAATATAAACATTTGAGTATACATTTGAGTTAAATTTAAAGAATTAATGGAAGTTAAAAAATCAAAAATTCACATTTCAGTTGAAATTTCTAAAAAATTAATGAAAAATAATATATAATTTATAATTATTTACAATTAATCGGTTTTTTTTAATGCAAGGAACACAATTATTTTATATTTAAACTTGAATTTAAATAAATACAAAATTTTTCAGCTAAAATGGGAATTTCTTTTTTTTTAACGTTCATTAATTTATTAAATTTAAATTGAAACTACACTTCATATATACCAATCGATTTGTTTGACGTAAGGAATACGATTTTATTATATATAATCTTAAATTTTTCTATTTAAAAATTTTTTCGATTAAATAAAAAATTTTGGAAAAAAGAAGATAAAAAATTTTTTTTGGGTATTTTTCAAAATCCTTTGGTCAGATTTCAGATATTAATATGATAAATGAGCCTACCAAATTTTATCTAAATCCATTAAAACCTGTTAAAGTTATCGTCTAAACAAAAAAGGGATTCACACACACACATACATCCGGACAATTGATCAGGATCTCATATACCTAACATGTTCCAATATAGAGAAAAATTTATTTCCACCACTTTGAAAATTTTTATAAACGAAAGGACTACAAAGCTTCCTCCACGAGGAAGCAAAAACATTATTGTGTTTGTTATAAAGAAATAAGTTAATAAATTTTTAGTAGTCGATAAATCTGGCTGAAATTAATTACTTGGAGGTTTTCGAGGTCGCTCATTACGAATTTGATATTAGTTTTTTAAAATTCAAAATGGCGACCAAAATTTTATTAAATTCGTCGGATTCGCATCAAACTTGTTTCTTGGCGATTTTTAAAATTCAAAATGGCGGATCCAAAATCCTATCTCGGACGATAGTCAGTGTTTCATTGAACCTACACACCAAAAAATAGCATTGGTAAGTATGACTAAATATGTGTAGTTAATAAAAAAGCAGTTAAAAATACCATATTCAGAACCATTTTAACTAAACTTAGACAGTTGGTGGTACTAAATTTTAGTAGTGAATTTCACCTAGTTAAAATTACTAATATTTGTAGTTGAAATAACTGTTATGTGGTTTTAAATGGTTTTACAACATTTTAAGGGGAGTCACAACCTTTATTTTGACCCACTTAAATTTACATTATTAAACGAGGTTATATTTTTTTTCTTGCATCATTTGGGTCCTAAAAACATATAAGGTAGTCAAAAAAAGAAAATTTTATTTTTTGACCATTTTAGAATTTTTATTTTTTAAAAAAATTAATATTTCGAAAATCCATGCGAGAGATTCTTAAAAATCATTAAAAAAGCGTGCAAAAAAATTGGCGATGAAAAATAGTCCAAATTGAGAAAGAAGATAGATATTTAAAATATTAATTTTTTTAAGAAATTAATTTCTAAAATGGTCAAAAATTAAAATTTATTTTTTTGACCATTATGTATGTTTTTAGGACCCAAATGATGCAAGAAAAAAAAATATCTTTCTACGATCATGAAAATGTAAAGGATTCAAAATGAAGGTGTGACTCCCTTTAATAGATAGTTAAAACTAGGTACTGTTAAAAATTGTTATTTTTATGATTTATGTAATTGAAGAAACCATTTCTTCCCAGCGAGAAATGAAAGGTTTAATCGACGTCTATCCGAAATCTAAGACATTGAGAACAGGTCTAGGTCTAAATTTGATCTAGATTAATTAAAAATAGACGTTAATTTAAATCTGTTTTTAAGAACCCAGTAAAAAAAAGGATTGGGAGTAAGCGAAAAGAATTGGTTGTAACTTAAGCTGAATTCGGTTTGGCGAAAAAACCGAATTGGAACGTTACGGTGAATTATTTTTTTCTTACCGTGAATTCTTTTCTCTTGGACATTTGAATTGAGGTTTGTTTATTCGAGTTTACTTTATAAATGAATAGAATAAATGTTTCGAAGTCTAAAAAAGCCGATTTGGAATAAGAAATACATAATTTTTCAAAAAGAAATAAAAGCGAAGTGTGACAGATTCACCGATAATTTTATCAAGTGAGTAGTGTTCATATGATAAATTTACCACATGAATACTACTCACATAGTAAAATTGTCGGTAAATCTGTGACATTTCACTTTTATTTCTTTTTAAAAAATGATATATTTCTTATTCCAAATCGGCTTTTTTAGACTTCCAAACTTTTTTTCTTTTCATTTATAATGTAAACTTGAATAAACAAACGTCAATTCAAATGTTCAAAAGAAAAGAATTCATGGTAAGAAAAAAATAATTCATCGTAACATTCCAATTCGGTTTTTTCGCCAAACCGAATTCAGCTTAACTTAACACCAATTCTTTTTTTTACTGGGAAGTAGAAAATTGTTTTAACCGAATCTTAAACATGTAAAACTGACCTTTTGTCCAAACACAATTATTTAAAATTTTTTAAAACTTTTTTCAAGCATTTAAAAAAAAACTGAAATATGATGCACACTTACATTACCCCTCACAGCATCGGATATTTTAAAAAATCCCTGGAACGTTCTAGGGATATATATTTTCTTTCTGCGTTATAGTTGTCTCAGTACTGAGGATTTACCGACGAATGTGCGATAATGCGCCTATATTCTTACATTCAATATAATACGCCAAAGGAATAATCTATCTGCCTTCCAGTGTGAAATAAGTGTTGTCTAATCGACACTTTTTGTCGAAATAGAAATCGAATAGCTGGTCTAAGACATCAATTAGTATACTAATTTCTCAACGCAAGGGGGGGCGGTACTACCGAAATCAGGATTATAGATGTCTTATAGAGTTATCTATATAGGTATCCTTTAAGGAACCCTAAAAGGAATTTTCAATAGAGTTCAATTTTGTTTACGATATAGACGTCCAATATACTCCAATTTCGACGTCTACAACCTAGACGTCTATAGACGTCTTATGGCGTCCCATTTCGACGTCTATGTAGATTTTGATTTAGACCTTATGTAGATCTTGGTCTAGACGTTAAATAGACGTCGATTAGACCTATCATTTCTCACTGGGTTCCTAGATGCAGTAAAACCATTAGATTTACTGTTTTATGTAATTAAAATAAGTGTTAAAAATAGTTATTTTTATAATTTGTGTAGTTGAAAGAACCAATTTTTCATAGTTGCAGAAAAACACCTAGACTTACTGTTTTTATATAGTTAAAATAAGTGTTGAAAATAGTTGTTTTTATGTTTTCTATATTTGAAAGAACCATTTCTTCCTAAATGCAGAAAAACAATTAGACTTTTTTTGTGTAGTCACTATTAATGTAAAGACTGTCGTTAATGTCTAACTTATAATTTGTGTTGTAGAGTTAACTGTTATTTTGTAGTAAATATTTCTATTTTTAGCACGTGAAAAAGTTTTTATGTAAAGTTTGATAGGTATTATTAACCCTCATGGTACTGACTGGGTTAGCGTAACCCAGGCGAAATTTGAAAGTTGCGCCATTTTTAAGGAAGTCGATGGTGGCGGCCCGGACGCGGGGGTAAAAAAACTTTAAGGTGCTAACTGTAGGTGGCTATTTCGGCAGAGTCACCTGACGCTTTTTCTTCGAGTTACGTTTCTATGAAATTTGCTCTCGGGTAAAATTCACCCAGTCAGTGGGGAATGTCTGAAAAGGCAAGTCAGGTGAAAATGTAAATTTTTTCCAAACCACTATAATGTGTTTACATAATTTGTTTGACATCTAATAAAGTCTATATTTAAAGGAATCGTTTAGATTTCACACATTTCTGCATATATTTGGTCGCATTTTACGCAGTATTGAATACTGGTATGTACTATTTTCAATGTTTTTAAAAATATTAGCTATTTTTGACAGAACTAAAATTTGCAGTAAAAATAAATAAAAGCGACTAGTCTGATGTTAAATAATCAAAAATAAATCTTTAATTAATAAACCATGGCGGCCCCTCTCCGCAAACGAGGACGGACATCATTTCTGCGTTCAAAAAGTGGACACAAATGGTCTCTTTCTGCTCCTGAACAGAGGGGTAGAAATGCACAAGTTTCATATACGCCTGCGCCTAAAGGTGATGCAATGTATGCCAGATCTCCTGTGGAATCTTGGGCTATCCTGTTTTCTAATGAAATCTTAGAAATTATTCTCAAACATACTAATGAACAAATAAACAGGCGAATCGGTGAACTTGAAAGAAGGCAAATGGTAATTGATACATCACTTCACAAAGTTACAGACATTGTGGAATTAAAAGCTGTTTTTGGATTATTGTATTACGCTGGCGCTCATAAATTAATTAAATGTAAAACGATGAACTGGTGGAGTGTTCATTCCATGCCTTTATTCAAAGCAACGATGTCAAGAAATCGTTTCACATTTTTATTTGACTGTTTACGGTTCGATGACAAGAATACTCGAAACGAGAGGAAAGCCATTGATTGCTTCACGCATATTAGAGAAATTTGGGATTTGTTTATTGAAAGGTGCAAAAATAATTACGAACCGGGTAAAAACATTACCATTGACGAACAACTGCTTTCCTTTCGAGGTCGTTGTTCTTTCAAAATGTATATACTGTCGAAACCAGACAAGTATGGTTTTAAAATTGTCTCTATGAATGATGCGGATACTCACTACATGATAAATGCGATTCCATATTGCGGAACTGTAACTGAAAGGGTAGAAAATGAACCTATTCCTATCTACTATGTCAGAAAATTAAGCGAACCAATCTATGACACAAACCGTAATATAACTTGTGATAATTGGTTTTCGTCATACTCGCTTTTTGAAATGATGAAAAAAAAGTACAATTTATCTTTAGTAGGAACGATAAAAAAAAACAAAAGAGAAATTCCAGCTCCATTCAAAAGTGTGCCGAAAGGAACCCCAAACATTCGATTTTGTTACTTTCTTACAATCCGAAAAAAAAGAAAATTGTACTGGTTTTATCATCATTCCATCGTGCAGGTAAAGTAGACGAAGAATCTGGTAAACCGGAAATGATCCTTTTCTACAATCGAACAAAGGGCGGTACAGACAGCTTTGATCAAAAATGTCATCAATATACAGTGGCAAGAAAAACAAACAGGTGGCCAGTTAGAATGTTTTACGGAATGCTCGATCAAGCTGGCGTAAATTCTTTCGTTTTGTTTAATTTAAATCAAGATAACAGGCCAATGAAAAGATTAGAATATTTAATGGAGTTGTCATTGCAACTTGTTCATCCCTATTTAGTAAGAAGATTGGAAACTCCAACTTTGCGTGGAACTCTGCGTTCATTGATTCAAGATTTTATAAGGCCCGAAGATGTACCTGCGGAAATTGACATCAGGCACGATGTATCTGATAATAAAATGACTAAGCAGAAACGCTGCTCTTTGTGCCCGTCTTCATTAGATCGCAAGACTTATTTCAAATGTTTGCAATGTGATAAGCCAATGTGTCGAGAACATGTGGCAAAGATTTCCTTCCAATGCGCAAACTAAAAAGTCAAAATAAAATCTTTGTAATTTGACGATTTTAAAAACTAACAATAATTTCATTGTAATACACCCATTTTTATAAATTGATATTTTTTAACGTAATAAAAAAATTTGTTAAAACAATTTCTGTTGTCGGTTTATGTTACATTCATCAATTTTATCAACAACAAATGTTTTATGCCGTATAAACAAATTTTTTTTACGAAATTTGTGATAAACTTTTGTTGACTGACTTTTTTGGCTTCTTTAAAAAAGGGGTATTTTCAATCTTTAAAAAAAATATATTTTTTGGAATTAATTGCAAAACGGCTAACGCTATCTTCAAGATAAACTTTTCAGCTTTCCAAAAACCACCTATAAAATGTTTTTCCATTCTTTTTTACAAAAATAAAAGATTTAAAAAAAAAAAATTTTTTTTCAAAATTTTTGGAACACCGCCTATATTTTCAACTGTAACTTTTATAAATTAAAAAATATCACAAATCTCACAAAGCCATCGCATTTCTGAGAAAATTTCCGATTGGTTTAAAAAAAACATTGTCTTCATTGATTAATTTCAGTCTAAAATACAGTCGATCAAAGATGCTGGGTTAGGCTAACCTAGTCAGTGGCGTCTGCAACTTTTTTATAGTCAGTACCCTGAGGGTTAATTAAAAGAAGATAATAACTATTAAAAGTAATAAATTTGACTACATTGGATAGTAAAATTAACTGCATAGTGACAAGTATGTACTCAAATATGCAAATCATCCTAGAGAGCGTGGTTAGTTGGCTAAGTTGTCGGCTTGTGATCGTTAGGGTCGTGCGTTCAATCCCCCGCGTTTCGGGATTTTTCTCTGTTAGGTATAAAAGAATTAAATATTATAAGGCACTTATAAACGAAAGTAGTAGGGAAGAGGATGAAAAAATGGATCTCAATACTAATATTAATAATAATAATTTTACTACTTTGAATAGTTTCTGTTAACTAAATTTTACAGTTGATTTAACCGTTTTTACACAGTTGTCTCAACTACTTTTTGTTAATAGGCGCCTCCTGGAACTATAAAAATTAGTTACTGCAACCTAATCAAACATTTAATGTGACTGACAAAAAATCACAATGGCTAAATTAATTTTTTGGATAAAAATTAGTAATTAAAACGGACTTTTATGATTTTGAATATTTTTTAATAAATACATGATAAAAGTTGATGCACACAGCAATATGTAAACAAATCGATACCTGAGTGTGAAACTGTTCTATCTCACAGTGAAGGTAAATAACGTGCTATCTCAGTTTTTGGACAAACCTGCTCTGTGCAACTTTTATTGCTCTGATTTTTCGGTAATAACGTTTAATTAAAACATTATTATGAATAAAATACATAAGAATTATGTAAGTAATATATTTTACTATTAATATTAGTTCATTAAGCATTATTTCAAGAAATTTTATACAATTAACATTGCAAAAAAGGTTAGACAAAACAATTGAGATAGCACTTTATTTACTTTCACTGTGAGATAAAACAGTTTCACACTCAGGTATCGAAATATGATCTTGGTGCCATTTAGGTTCAATGCATCACTGGCTATCGCTGGAGATAGGATTTTGGACCCGCCGTTTTGAATTTCGAAAAACTAATATCATATTCGTAATCAGCGACCTCGAGAACCACCAAGTAATTAATTTCAGCCAGATTTATCGACTTTTTAAAAATTTATTAACTTATTTGTTTATAACAAACAAAATAATGTTTTTTTAACTATAATAATTATTACAAAAAAAGTTCATCTAAATTGTTGCTTAAGGGGTTAGACCATTGTGAATTTTTTTAAAAATCGAAAAAATTTTTTTTAAAAAAGGTGCCGGATATACGGTTCAGTATATCATAGAGACATACGTTCACACGTTTTTCTCAAAACCAAGTTTTTCAAATGGCTGGTAACTTTTCTCGTACAATTTTTAACCAAATTAGCTAAAAATTCATTTACGGATTCAAGATAACATTCTTTATGGAAGTACGCAGAGTTTTTTTTTTATCAAAAACTTTTTTTTATTAACAATTTTGTACCGTTTGTTTATTAAAAAACTCGAAATTTTGATCAAACACGTGCCATTTTCAACAAAAATCGGTTTTTTCAAAATCCCCTAAGTACTTCTTTAGATTTTGAGTTATAAATTAGGAAAAAATTTAGTTTTTTGTTCTAAGTAAAAAACTGAAAAAGATTTTCTACCAGTCGTACACCTCTGCATAAAAAAATGGTTTTTGTAGATCGACTGTCAGCGCCGCCATTTTCATTTTTCTACCTTTTGAAAATAATTTTTTAATAGTTTAATATGTACTTAACAATAATATATAATTGATTTTTTAATTCATCTTATTCTGTTCTTGAAAAAAAATCTTAAAAATGGGTCTGATTTTTAGTCTTTACAGTGGTCTAACCCCTTAAGTGATTTATGAACTTTTAAAAAAAAATTTTATCTGTTTATGAAAAATATAACTCCCTAAAAGTTTATGAAAATTATTTTTTAGTTTGTTATTTAAATATTTAAACAACAAATTTTTTTGCTAAATTTAAGATCAACATGTAGTCGACTACTTTACCTTTAATTTAAAAAAAAAAGTTATTTAAATTAGTTGAAATTTTCGAACTCCACATTTTATTCCAGGGGCCAACTCTGCAACGTCTTGGACAACTATAACCCCTTATGAAATGCGGCCCCCCATATATTGGATTATAAAATATAATTTAATGTGAATTAAATAATTTTTTTTGTACTGTTTTTGTTTCCTGATATTATATACCTAACATCGATTACCAAAATTATTATTCTTTAAGGAAAGGCACCACCTTCAATTTTGACCCATTGAATTTAAATTATTATTAAACGAGTTATATTTTTTTTCTTGTATCATTTGGGTCCTAAAAACATATAAGGTGATCCAAGAAAGTAAATTTTTCACCATTTTAGAATTATTATTCTTTGAAAAAATTAATATTTTTTATAATCTATGCGAGAGATTTTGAAGAATCATTAAAAAAAGAGTAGAAAATATTTGACGATGAAAAATACTTAAAATTGTGAAAGAAGATATATATTTAATAGGAGAGTTCAATGATGTTTTAACTCATATTTTTCTTTCTTTCTTTGAAGAAATTAAAATTTTTGAAAATCCATGTGAGAGATTCTTAATAACCATTAGAAAAACGTGGAAAAAAATTGTCGATGAAAAATATTAAAAATTGTGAAGGAAGATAGATATGTAAAGGGTTAGGTGGGTTTCAACTTTTGAAAAAAAAATTTTTTTGCTTAAAAAATAGTTCAGTATATCCAGAATATTATCCTGAAATTCCTAATCGATTGGAGTAATATTATAAGAGATACAGCCTTCGGAAGTTCCCTCCGCGCGGTACGTCACCCGGTTGAAAAAACTTGTACAGAATCGTGTACACGATCTTGTGCACGTTCGTGCACATGTTCAATCACCAGGTCATGTACAGGAACAGCAAATGAACATGTAAAAAGAATTCGAGCAACGATCTTGTACAAGACATGTACAAAAATATGTACATGAACATGCATATGTTTATTCCTGGTAACTAAAGAATTCTATAGTTTCCCGGATAGCACCAAAACTTCCCTGAGCCTTGACTGAACCTTGCTTGACGAGGTTCGGGAACTTGAGTCGCGAGGTCCAAACGAGGTTGAGTTGATGTTTAAATGTCCGCGCATAATAAAGGTCAGTCACAGAGGTTGGCTGAATATTGGATTCGAATTTTGTTAAATATTAAAATTAAAGATTCTTGGCATATTGTGAGGGGATATTTAAGGAAATTAAAGATTCAAGATTTGTTAAATGTAATCGTTAAATATTCTGGAAATTTAGAAGGAGCATAAATACGGAAAAATAAAAAGAAAGCAAATGAATTTAAAAAACTATTGAAAATTGCATTTTCTATGACATGGAAAAGCGTAAATAAAACAGAAATTAATAGACAATCATAAATACAGTTATATTTATTAGTAGTTACATAAAAATTAAATTTTTAAAGGTTTTTTTGAGAGTCTGCAAGCAAATTTCATGTGCTAATAAAAAATTAAAATTAAAAAAAAAATTAAATGAAAATTTTATTAAAACGAGTTATCAGAATTTTTTGGCAGAAATCCTAGTAAATATTCTCAACAATATTTTTATTGAGCCAAAAAAAATTCATCCAAAAGAATTTTCTGAGTAAATCATTACGAAAATGCATTTTTTTGTCTATAGTACAAATTTTGCAATAAACAAAATTTTCTTTTTAAGTAAATCGTTCATTTATTTGAGTTTTTGTTTCACCACACATTGTAGACAACATTTCTATTTGAAAATATTTCTTGTCAAAATACTTAAACTCTATTTGTAATTTAATGTAATAATAATTTATTACTAATAAATATAACTGTATTTATGATTGTCTATTAATTTCTGTTTTATTTACGCTTTTCCATGTCATAGAAAATGCAATTTTCAATAGTTTTTTAAATTCATTTGCTTTCTTTTTATTTTTCCGTATTTATGCTCTTTCTAAATTTCCAGAATATTTAACGATTACATTTAACAAATCTTGAATCTTTAATTTCCTTAAATATCCCCTCACAATATGCCAAGAATCTTTAATTTTAATATTTAACAAAATTCAAATCCAATATTCAGCCAACCTCTGTGACTGACCTTTATTATGCGCGGACATTTAACCCCTTGACAGTCCAGGGCCCATATGTGGCCAGAAAAAGTCGTGCCACCTTTGTGCAAGTGGCCATATATGGCCATCGCAAAAAAATAATACTAAATTTAATTTGATTCGCCTAAAATTTGTCACTCTGGGGTTTTTGGGGTCGCTGAATCCAAATTTGAAGTCAGATTTCAAAAAAACAAAATGGCGGACCCAAAATGGCGACCATGAAAACTTAAAATTTATCAGATTTACATGAAACTCGTTGCTCAGGGGTTTTCGGGGTCTCTGATTACGAATCT